TGCTAATGTGTCAGGAGTAGCCAGTCTCAAACCCCTCTGGTCAGGTGTTTACTACACACACCGCTCCTAGCAATGGAGGGAGTTAGAGGGTAAGCAGAGGGGGCGCAAACACACTTCTGCAGCTTGATGAACAGCCTGGTACTGTCCTCTCTTAGGCCAACATCACAGAGGTGGAGGTCTCTATTCCTTCCAAACTGCACAATTCCCTCATTGGCGCCAAAGGCCGCTTCATCCGCTCCATCATGGAGGAGTGTGGTGGAGTCCACATCCACTTCCCCACCGAGGGCTCTGGCAGTGACACCGTGACCATCAGGGGCCCAGCCCAGGATGTGGAGAAAGCCAAGAAACAGCTGCTGCACCTGGCAGAGGAGAAGGTGAGCCTTGTCTCATAGAGGAAGAAGCAGATTGTTTGGGCCAGCTGTTTCTTTTTGGGGGTTGAAGTGATCACCTCTGCCTGCTGGGTAGCCTCTGGCATCAGCCAGCCTAATCCTCTTTTGAGGGATTTGAATACAGTTTGGATGATCGAAAGAAAACTATGCTTCCATCCTTGTGACAATGAGTTCTTCTCCCATGGGTAGAAGAACTGGCTGTAATGCTTCTCTGCCCAGGCTGGGGACATACTCAAAGGGTTAAGGCTCCCTACTGCTGTGTTTTGAAGGCTGTTGGGTATCCACACTTCTCCAAAACAGCTTGCTCTGCACATCTCCTTTACTTTTTTCTTGATCCCTGAATTCCACCTCCAGTTCTTCCGTTTCACTGCATATATCCATGTTTGAGAACTTTGAGTTACAAGACCTTGCTCTGAGTTGTGGCTGGCTGACTGACTGGTCATTTTAATAGCAAGAAAAAACCCTTTCTAGTAGCAGCATGTGAACCTGTTCTCCTGATCAGTTGGTTGCCTCTGCTACCTGGCTTGCAGCAGTTAGCAGATGGTTATGCTGCCTTGTGTGAGTGTCAGACCCTTCTCCTAGGGAAGTCTTTTCTACTCATATTCTCACCAGCTGTGCTGAGTGTAGAGATAGCTTTTCAGCCCTGAGAACGTCTTCTGGGTAGCATTTTTAATTTAAGACATCGTATACCTTTTTGAGTTCAACAGCACACTATCTGCCTTGCTCTTGCAACGCTGTGTATGTGGGTGCAGGTAACATACCTGCCTGCTTACTGTTGATGCTGATGTCTATGTTCTCTATATTGACATGTTCCGTGGGTATCTGACTCCTTTCAGCAAACAAAGAGTTACACCGTGGACCTCCGTGCAAAGCCAGAGTACCACAAATTCCTTATTGGTAAGGGTGGTGGCAACATCCGTAAGGTGCGTGACAACACTGGGGCCCGCATCATCTTCCCAACCTCTGAGGACAAAGATCAGGAGCTGATTACTATCATGGGAACTGAGGAGGCTGTCAAAGAGGCGCAGAAGGAGTTGGAGGCCCTCATCAAGAACCTGGTATGAACTACTTTTTCTACGTTCTTGCCTATCACTGTAGCAAGATGTAACGAGTTGGTCTGGAGGACCTGCTTGTCCTAAAACCATCTGCTGCCCTTCGTGGGAGCTCAGGAAGATCCTCCTTGCTCTTACTCGTTGGGGTGAGGTTGTAAACTGATTGCTGTTGAGTATAGCAAACTCGTGCTTATCGCCAGGCCACGCAGGGTTGACTGGCTGTCATCTGTTGGCAGGATAACGTGGTTGAAGACTCCATGGTGGTTGACCCCAAGCACCACCGCCACTTTGTCATCCGGAGAGGGCAAGTTCTGCGTGAGATTGCAGATGAATATGGTGGTGTGATGGTCAGCTTCCCACGCTCTGGCACCCAGAGCGACAAAGTCACCCTCAAGGGAGCCAAGGACTGTGTGGAGGCAGCCAAGAAACGCATCCAGGAGATCATCGAAGACCTGGTATGTTACAGGAAAACTGTTTCTTCTATCCTTTGTTGCTTCAGCAGTACCCTCCTTGAACCTGCTGTACAGCCAAGCTTTATGTGAGCAAGTCCCACCGTAGTCCTGGGATTTGGAGTTTTGCTGTCAACCTATAGGGTCTGCAGACTTTAGATCCTGGCCTGGGGAATGGCAACTTGACTCCAAACTGGCAATGCTATGTGAAGGAGTTGCCTCCTCTGACCACCTTCTTGGTTTTTAGGAGTGGAAACAGGGGACCCTTCCTTGGTGTACTTCTAGACATTAAAAGATTGGAGCCTTCTTGAACCTCTCCACACCTGGCCTTGGGCAGTGGTTGCTCTCTGGGGTTTCCTGTGCTGTTAGTGTTGGCTGTTGGAAGCAGCCAGCTGTCAAACCTGTTCTCTTCCCTTCCTTCTTTATCTTTTTCCTTTCTTCTAATGCTTCCTCCCCTTCAGGGTAATATAGAGCTTGAGCTTTGGTCTCGGAAGGCTTTTAACATCATGGGTTGGAGGCAGCCTTCATTAAGAAATCCTCTGCTAATTTCTCTGAGAGAGGGAAGATTGTAGGAAACTTTTAGTTCTTCCTCTGTCAGCAGCTGTTATCTTTTCTAACTCCTCTCTGTGTCCGTTCACCATGCACAAGCATCCTGTTTTCTGGTGTGAAGGAGGCTGCATCGCAATAGAGCAACTCTGCTTTCTCACAGGAAGCTCAAGTGACAATCGAATGCACCATCCCACAAAAGTTCCACCGCTCTATTATGGGCCCCAAAGGATCCCGGATCCAGCAGATCACCCGGGACTATGGTGTCCAGATCAAATTCCCTGACAGGGAGGAGAACCCAGGTATACCCATGGATGCATGTTCGCATGGTAGTTGAGGTGATCAAATGAGGGGAGCGTAGTGTAGCCTGCACACCATATCGGTGGAGATGTTCTGCTTCAAATCTCTGGAGAACTGACCCCAGGTGTTTCCTGCAGTGCCCTTGAATCTGGGCTTAGCATCAACCTTGCCCTCTTGGGAAAAGGGAACATTTTTAGGACATAAAACTGCAGACCTGGGTGTTCTGAATGTGTTCTCACCACAGAGCGCAGGCAGTACGAGGACCTATCCCAGCAAAAAGGGCTTTACAGACTTACCGAGATCCCTCTGAGCTCTCACACTCTCGTTGCTGGGTGTACGGAATTCAGCACGGCTGGGACCTGTTGGATACTCTGGCACAGCACCAGCCATCCTGCTGTAACATCCAGTGCTGTGCTGGTGAACTTCCCTGTTGGGGAAGAAACCGCCAGCCTTACTTGCTGCCTCTGCTAATGTAGGCGTGCAGCCTCTGCTTTCGTAGTGCAACTGCAGGTCCTTTCTGTGCGGGCTAAGGCACTGTCAGTGCTGTGCAGAGAGGCGTGGAGCGGACTGTCTCGGTGGATGTTCTTGTTCTGCTCATTCCAGGCTAAGCCATGGCAAGCTGCCTGTACTAGGAGTCACCTCCTCCATAGCAATCTATAGCATCTGACCTTCTTGAGGCAAAGCCCAGGCTGAGCCTGAGGATCTAGAGGGGAAAATAATGAGCAAGGAGGGGGCTCTGTGCATTTAACCCAAGACTTTCTGTGTTTCCAGCCCCTATTGCAGAGCCAGCTGTGCAGGAGAATGGCGAGGAAGGTGGGGAAGGCAAGGATGGGAAGGATGCAGATCCCAGCTCTCCAAAGAAGTGTGATATCATCATCATCTCTGGCCGCAGGGAGAAGTGTGAGGCAGCAAAGGAGGCACTGCAGGTATGCGGCTTTCTAAACCCCTTAGCCCTGTAACGTAGTGATGCCCTGATGCAAGAAGCTCACTGCAGGCCTTAGTGGTGGTAGTAAAAGCTACTCAGTCAAGGTTGCAATCCAGGTGGTCGCTGATGCTAACTGTGGATGTGGTCTGTAACTGCTCAAGGGAAGTCCTCTGCTCTGTGATTGAGCCTGGCGGCTCGAATCATAGTGCCTGACCTTGCAATTGCTAGAGCTTGTACGCAGCCCCGAGTTACTTGCCATAAAAGCATGACATGCTTGTTTTATGGCGCACAGCTGGAAAGAGAAGGAGTCTGATTGAGGCTGAATCATTCTAGCTTTAGCAGACCTTGCCATGCTCCTTTAATGATGTTTTCCAAGTCTCTGCTAGATGGAAGCCAAGGATATGAAAACAGCCTGTCCCCAGAGGCGGGGTTTAAGATTGCTTGTTTGGAAAAAATGCTTTAACACCTAACAGGTCATCTTGGAGTTCGCAGCCGTTCTCTCTTCCTGTAGAGTTTGTATCCTGACTACAAGGGAACATACCTCAGTTCAGCAACACGTTCTTTTGGGCAAGTATATGGCAAGCTGAAAGATGTGAGAAGTCTTTCAGCTGGTAAACTGTGCTCCCTCCCCTGCAGGCCCTGGTTCCTGTCACCATTGAGGTGGAAGTTCCCTTTGATCTTCACCGTTACATCATTGGCCAGAAAGGAAGCGGGATCCGCAAAATGATGGATGAGTTTGAAGTAAGTTGTTGCCCTTCCTCCCATCTCCTCTGTCCCGGAGAATCTAACTGACCGTGTTTGTGGTGGTGGCAATCAGTTGCCACATACTCGGGACTGTCATGGCTTGACCATGGAATGTAGGCTTTGTAATAAGAAAGTTAGATGTGTGTGATTTAGTCCCTGGCTCTGGGGCTCAGGAGGTTTCATGCTGAAGCTGTATGATGGGTGTTGATGCCGTGAGTGTTGCGTGACTTGTGTGGTGCCTACAGGGCTTCCTCACCACTGTGAGAGTTGTTTTCCTCCTAGGCCATGGGAAACAACTCTACTGTGCCTTCCCGTTTGGCAGAGTTCCCCAGAAGCCCCCAGGGACTCTTGGGGCTGATGCAGTTTGGCTGCCGACAGCGTTATTGAACATGTATTTGTTTCCTAACCTCTCCAGGCTGGCACAGGGACTGCTGGGGGCTGAAGCCCCACAGCAAAGCAATCTGATAATGGCTGAAGAAACAGGGTTCGGTTCAAAAACCATCTAGACACGGTCCCAGGCAATTGACTCTAGGTGGCCCTGCTTGAGCAGGAGGGTTGGATCAGATGACCTCCAGGGGTCCCTGCCAACCTCAACCGCTCTGTGATTTCTGTGGTTTAGGCTGTCTGGCTGGGAGCTGGTCTTGGCAGGGGAGATCGGTGAGGTGCCAACCTGCAGTGACAGGCATCAGAAGTGATACAAAATGAGCAGTGATACAAAATGATAATCGGTACTTGTAACTCAGGTGAACATCCAGGTCCCTGCTCCTGAGCTGCAGTCAGATATCATCACCATCACTGGGCTGGCTACCAACCTGGACCGTGCCAAGGCTTTTTAGGAACTGCAAGCTGAACAAGAGGATCGGGTAAGACCTGTGCCTGTCCTCCTTCCTTCCAGCCAAACAAGGCCTCAGCTTCTGGGTGTTCCTTTCAGAAGTTGCGTGGACTCCTGGAACCCCTCACCTTTTAAGAACACCCTTAGGTGGGTTACCCAAATGTAACTCATTTAACATGAACTGACAGGAGAGCTTTGGGATTCTACTTCAGGTAACTTTGGACTGTCCAGGGCTCTATCACAGCTTCATGTACCTTCGAGACACTGCAGGGTGGGAACCTCACTGTGCTAGGAGTCTCTCTGTACCTATTCTTATTGAATCCTTATCACAGCTCTGATTAAATAGATGAAGGACGATTGAACTTGGCAAAAGCATGAGGCCCCGGCAGATGTCTTGGGTGCTTTTCTGTAGCCATGTACACTCAAGCATGACCCTGCAGAATCTGTTTCACGCGTCTCAGAAGCCAGAAGGAAACCCTGAGACTTAGACGGACATCACTGAACCAGCCATGGTGTATTCCCTGCTGTTGTATCTCACTCTGCTTCTCCTGTTCCAGGCCTTGCGAAGCTTCAAGCTAACAGTCACTGTGGATCCCAAGTATCACCCTAAAATCATTGGGCGGAAGGGAGCAGTGATCACCCAGATACGCACAGAGCATGAGGTCAACATCCAGTTCCCCGACAAGGATGATGAGAGCCAGGTGAGAGGTCAGAGGGGGTGCAAGGAGGGCTGCTGGTCGTCTCTGAGCATAGGAAGCACAGCGTCTTCTCTAGGACTCTGAACTCCCTGTGCTGCCTTTGGCTAAGGTGGAGGGTGAAAGAGATTAGCAGGGAGATGGCTTGCTCAGCTGGTTATGAGCCTGGTCTCACACGTTTCCCTGTGCCCCAGGCCCAAGACCAGATCACCATCACTGGCTATGAGAGGAATGCTGAGGCTGCCCGGGATGCCATCATGAAGATCGTTGGCGAACTGGAGCAAATGGTCTCTGAGGATGTGACCCTGGACCATCGTGTTCACGCACGCATCATTGGTGCACGTGGTAAAGCCATCCGCAAAATCATGGATGAGTTCAAGGTGAGCAGTGGGGCTGTGCGGCACAAGTTAGGCTGGGCCTGGTTGGCCGGTGGTGCCGCTTGCTCCTGTGCCAAGAGCTTGGTAGCAGCTTGGTGCTAGGGACTGAATTCAGGAGTGTGAGGCTCACGTCTTGTGGTTCTTGTGTCTTGTACTTGTTGAGCACCTTCAGCTGGAACCGACCCAAAAGAAAAGCCGGTGCTGTCCTGTTCACCTCTAGCTCTGTCACCACAAGGTTGTGAGCAGAATCCCTGGGCCAGGGCACCCTGGCAGCTGGGGTATCTGGGCACAACACCCGGACACCAGCTGAAGCGTCCCGACATGACCTCAGCTGTAAGTCACCCTTCTGCTGGGAGCCAGGCAGGGAGGAGGCTGAGCTTTTCCTGTCTTGCTGGAACACAGCTGAAAGAGGACCCTGGAAATGCTTCCATGGTGCTCTGGGTTAGCCCTGCAAACAGCGCTGAGCTCTGTCCCTCCATGCAGCCCTTTTAGTGGGTTTCTTGCAGACAGGGTCCCAGATGGTCTTCAAAGGGAGGAGGTGGTTACGTCAGCTACTCTGATTACTGGAAGTGGACAGCCAGGCCTGTTGCTGGGGTTGTCTGGGAGGACACTGTGCTTAGGCCCCCTCAGTTCGAGCTTAACTCAAGGAAATCCTCTGGATTTCTTTGTCTCTCTAGGCCACCGTTGATCAGGGCTCCACATTTGGGAAGGGAAGGGCAGGGACCTTTGCCCCTGATAGCGTGCGGCAATAGCAGCGTCCCTCACTACAGGGGCTACAGTAGTGAACGTGAATCCAGAGTGATGAGGCCTGGGAGACTTGTTTCTTGGCTGGGCTCAGTTGTTGAAACAAGCTGTTTGGTTCCCAAATGAGCAGCCTGTGATTTTGGTCCTGTCTTGTGTGGCTTCCCTGCACCCATCTGGAAGGCAAGCTGTGAGAGAGCTCAGTGGCTGTGTTTGGGGTACACTAAGCTAGCTCCATGAAGTGATTGTCAGCCAGGATTACTCTATTTGTGGAGAAGATGGAAAGCTGATTGTGCTTCATGCTTGATGGTGAAAATGCTTGCAGCAGTGTGAGGACAGTGACTGGAATCTTCTGCTCTGCTGCAAGTGCTGCACAGAAGGCAGTGGGCCTCTGGGCGGTGAGAACAGCAGGGGCTGCTGGAAGAGGGATTGTTACTGCCTTCCTTCACGGGGCAATCAGTCAGGCTTCAGGGCCAGGTATATTCCAGTGCACCCCTCAGCATCTGAATGATGGGGGTCCTAAACAGACTTGTAGCAGTGAACAGATCAGTGCTTTTCTCTTCTGTGAATCTAACGACAAGGGTCACGGGGAGTCTGTGGCTTTTCAGATGTGCAGATGTAAGTCCCATCCTGTTCCTTGTGTTGCAGGTGGATATTCGCTTTCCTCAGAGTGGAGCTCCTGACCCCAACTGTGTGACTGTGACAGGACTCCCTGAGAACGTGGAAGAAGCTATTGATCACATCCTGAACTTGGAGGAGGAATATGTAAGTGTTCAGCAAATCTGTGCAAGGGCTTAGCAAGAATTTTCTCTGCCACAGAGCTGGATGTCTGAAGTATTTCCTTGTGGTATTTTCTCCCGGAGAACTCGAGCCCTGTGCAGGTGGCAGTCAGCCCTCACCTGCAACTATCCCTCAGACCAACTGGGCGCAGAGCCCCAGGCTGTGCTCTTCAAAGCAGTGCAAGGACTGGCCCCAGCATCCCAGAGAGGACAGTGAATGGGAATGCTGGGATACCACCAGGACTCACATATGCTTGCCTTGCTGCAGCTTGCGTCAGTTAGGAGTTGGTGGCCCTCAGACTAGTGCAGAAATGCTGTGCTCGGTCATTCTAGAACAGACTGGTGACCTTGGATGGGTTGCAGCATGGTGAGATGGTGCAGGGGGAGGCGTGTTATACCAGTTTGAGGAACTGTCAAGATCCCCCTCCTAACTGGCCCCTGTCACTGCAGCTTGCAGATGTGGTGGACAACGAGGCAATGCAGGTGTATATGAAGCCCTCTTCACATGAAGAGTCCAAGGCCCCATCCAAGGGCTTTGTGGTGAGAGATGCCCCCTGGGCCACTGTCAACAACGAAAAGGTGAGTGCTGCTTCTCCTGCGGGCCTGGGGGCACAGGGCACATGGTACCTACTGCCAAGGACTTACTCTGAGGTCTGGCCCTCCTGTCTCAGCTGGGGAAACAGAGCACTCTCCCTCCCTTGGCGGCAGAGAAAGCAGTGAAGGGCCCTCCTGCTCTTTGAGGCCCCTGCAAGCTGACAGCAGGCCTGGACTCTGCCTATCCAGCTTCCAAAGCACTGCTGTCTCTTTCTTCCAAACCTTTTGCCTGCACTGAGTACCCCACTGTGGTGCTGTTGGGGTATGGGGGACCCTTACCAGCAAGTGTCCTGCCAGGTCGTGTTGTTTTTAGGGGTAGGGATGGGGCCCTTGGACTTGTGACTCTGCTGCTTCAGCACAGAACTGGCTCAGTGTTTGCAGCTGTGTTCTGGCTGGGAGCAGAGAGCTGGGATGCGTGGCGGCTCTGTCCTCAGCTGCACCAGCGCTGCTGCAGGACTGGCCTGACCCCACTCCAGTGACAGAGTTACTGAGGTTGGACCCTCAGAGCCCTTGATCTGCCTGCCATTTGCTCCTATCTGCTTCTGTCTCCTAAATGTCATCTCTAGATGGCTTGACTGTCCACCCTGGGCAGTCCTAAGGACATAATGATCCTTTTCAGCCCTCGCACCGTACAGATTTGCGGCAGGGCAGGAGCTTAACTTGTTCCCTTTTTGTTTGCTCTAGGCCCCTGATATGAGCAGTTCTGAAGACTTCCCCAGCTTTGGGGCTCAAGTGGCCCCCAAGACTCTTCCCTGGGGACCCAAACGATAATGACCTGGAAGCAGAAACTCCTCCAGCCTGCTGACCTGACACTAACCTGCCACAAATACTTCCTGTCTGAAATCTGACCCAGCGGCTGGAGCACAAGTCAATTGCCCCAAGAGGTCTCCTAATGGTGTCTGGAGTGCTAAAGCCCATCCTGCTCCCCTCAGCTATCACCGTGGCTAGGACCCACCCTCATCTCTTGATGGATATTCTTTCCTCCTTTGGAAAAAGACTTCCACTCAGATTCAAACACTAAATGTGTGTGTTTTTGTTAGAAACTTCATAATTGACTCAAAGTGGCTAAGATTTGCAGCTTCCCAAGCGCTCGCAGAGCAATCTGCTCTCTTGAGCACGTCTTACTAGGCATTCTCGCCTTCATTAGGAGACCTCCTTTACTGTGGCTAGGAATCTACTTCCTGTCTCATGACCTCAGGAAATAAATTTCCTTGACTTTCTAAAGCCAAAACGTTTGCCCTCTTTCCTTTGTGTTTATCCCAAGCCTTACCTTACCTTTGTAGAGTGCAATCAACTTTTTTCCTTTTAACTGCCAAAAAATCATTTAATGCTGATAGCTGACTGTGGGGAGAGCTCAAAATAATCTAAAAGGTCAGAAACTTGCTTTTTAAAGGAACAAAACCTTCAATAGGCTGTAGTGGCAGCAGAGATGGAAGGGACCAGAACAACGTATGGCTACCCTGGTCAGGCAAACACCTCCGAGCGCAGTGCATAGCAAGCGCACCCCTGCGCCGCACCAAGCACAGCCCCAACCTGCACGCTTGACGAGTCTTCCAGTGTGTGATGACAGACCCCGCTCCTAGTTCCCTGCCTTCCCTCGTTCACCCTTCCCAACGGCGTGAGCAGGCGGGCAAGCCAGCACATGTGACGATATTACCAGACAGGACGTATTTGGGTTGGCGGAGGTTGCTGTGGTGGCATGGCCCAGGAGGAGCTGGTGGGAAGCACGGCCTTGAGAAGCTGTAGTCCTCTGCTAGCACTTGCAGCATCTAGGCATGGGCGGTAGGGCCACCTGTTACTATTGCCTTCTTTCTACCTCAAAAGTCAGTACGATGGTGGCCTCTCAGTGTAAGTGGGTAAGCAGCTGTTCCAGCTCTTGCCCTGGCATCCAGAGCAGAAGCGTGGAGGAGAAGCAGGAGGAGCCTTTTGTCTCTGAGTGGCTGTGGGAGCTTCTCCGCAGGGAAGCTGAGCACAGCGCAGTGATGATGAGGCAGGCTGCGAATTGGAGAGAACGGTAGGACCGCTTGCTGAGCTAGAACAGGGCTCGGCCCCAAGGCCGTAGGCGCAGCCTTGCCGCAGCCCTCGGCTGCAGAGGTTGTGAGCTAGGCTTCTGCTCTGATGGCCCTGGGAGGCTGGCGGTGTGGTGAGTTGAGCCCTCCCGAGGCCTCCATCGTATGGACGGTAGAGGGTGATCCATGCTCTGCACTCTGGGCCGCTTGCACCTAGGCCCTGCCACGGCTTGCTCCGAGGGGG